CTTCTTCTTCTTCTTCTTCTTCTTCTTCTTCTTCTTCTTCTTCTTCTTCTGCTTCTGCTTCTTCTGCTTCCTCCATCAGTTGTTGTGTTTGCTGATAAATAGCAAGCGCCATTTCTAAAAAGTGAAAGGCTTCTTCCAAAGCGTCCTTACCTTCTTTCTTTGTTTCAACAGATAAAGCCATTATAAACCTTTTCTTCTTTTTTCTTTTTCCTTCTTCTTCTTAAAACAACCAAGCTATTTCAAAGCTTAAAACAGTTCCCCAAAGTCCCAGAGTCATCAAGCAGTCCAAACAGAGCACAAAGTTCTTCCCTTTACACTTTCTCTTCCTGGGGTAATATCAATTGAAGAAAAAACCCAGTCTGTATTTTAAAGCCTTATTGCAATTAACTTCTAGTCTCAAAATCTTCCAGGCATCTCCTCCAACAAGATCTTAATATAATTTTTTTTGTCCTCTCCCTTCCCACTTGTAGCAAAGAGCTTTAAATTTTTACCTTCTATAAAAAGGCAGGTTTTTCAATATCCATTTGTTAACTCTGTACGGAAGAAGAGTAAACTTTCTCTTTCAGCACTTCCATTCGCCGCTTTAAAAATCTCCTCTGGAAACAAAGTATCTTCCAAAAAGTCAAAGTTTTCAGGATGTTAGATGTATCTTAAGATCCCGGCTCAGCCAAAGAACTTTCACTTCAAAACTTTCTCCTTCTTCCTCCAGCACTATCTTGGCCAGCTGCCGGCTTCTTTGTGGCGGCCATTACTGACCGCCGCTCCACCGCCTTGAGAAAAGGGGGTTTTGCCGGCTGGGGAGGGGGTCTGCGATACCCCCAAACCCCTATCCGGATCCCCCCTATCTTCGGCTGCCTCTACGGGGCAGCCTTATCCTCCAGACCCGTCGGGATCGGAGGCACCAAGACGGCTAGCGCAACAGGGATCGCGCAGGATCGTGAATCCCTGCCGCCGCCGAAGCCTGGCAAACCGGAAGTCCAAATATATTATCATTTTAAAAAAAATCCTATTAGTGGTCCTCGGGATTTAAAAGTATGAGTTTGGTGGTCCCTGAGGGTCAAAAGGTTGGCAACCCCTGATCTAGAATACCACCCTATAGAGGCAAAAGTGATATAAATGCTTAATGAACACAGAACTTCCAAAAATTACGGAAGAAAATAAAAACATGCTAAATGAAGAGATCAGACTAGAAGAAGTAATTGTGGTGATAAATAGACGGAAAAAAACAAACAATAAGGCACCAGGACCAGACAGGCTTCCGGCTGAAATGTATAAAACTCAACAAGGAATATTAGGCAATAGGCTACTTAAAATATTCAGTGCGGTCTTGGAAGAGGCGAAAATTCTGCAAACATGGGATGAAGCGACGATTACAATCATCCCTAAAGAAAATACTGACCAGACAGACATTAAAAATTATAGACCAATATCTCTGTTAAGTATGGATGATAAGACCTTTGTAACAATAGCTGATAGATTCAAAAAAAATTAAATGAGTTTATACACGCCAACCAAAATGGTTTCCTTCCACAAAGACAACTCAAAAACAATCTACGAATACTACGAAGAATGCAGTGGAGACCAAGTAGCACTATTATGTCTGGATGCCCAAAAGGCATTTGACAATGTTAAATGGAATTTTATCTTACAACAATTTAGATACATGGACTTTGGGCAGAAATTTTTAAATGTGATCTCGGCAATATATACCGTGTTTCTCATATAATAAGGCCAGGTCTTATTTTTTTTTGAGCCCCGAAAAAACGGCTAGGCTGTCTTTTCAGGGGTGCATTAATTTCTCCCCCCCCACGCACCCTTGCCTAGAGCGCCCCGTGGGCAGCTACGCCTCACCACCAGCCGCTCCTAATGACCGATCATGGCGGAGCGTGGAGGACTTCCTACCCCTGCCAAGCACCTTTGCTACAGACCGGTTATGGTGTTGGTTGCAGCAGGCGGGGCAGCAGGCGGGCAGCAGCAGTGTGGATGTCGGCCTTGGCAGGGCACTTTAAATTGCAAGACCTTTGGTGCCTGCCACTGCTGCTTCCTTTGCCGCTCTTGCTTTCCCTTCGCATTCCTCCACTGGCAGTGTTTCAGCCGCTTCTTGGGCAGGGGAGTCGCCTCTGTAGCTTCCACTGTTCCTGCTGGCACTGGCACCTCTCTTGCTAGTGCTGTCTCCAACAACAACAGCAGTGCCGGCGGGAACTATGGAAGTGTTTCAGATGTTTCTTGGGCGGGGGAGCCGCCTCTGTAGCTTCCACGGTTCCCGTCAGTGCTGGCGAGAGAACAGCAGCAGGCGCCGAAGGTCTCATGATTTAAAGTGCCCTGTCGAGGCCGACATCCATGCCGCCACTGCCCGCCTGCTGACCTGGCCTGCAACCAGCACCATACCTGGGTCTGCAGCAAAGACACTTGGCAGGGGTAGGGAGCACTCTGTTCTCCGCCATGATCGGCCGTTAGGAGCGGCTGGTGATGAGGCGTGGCTGCCCGCGGGGTGCTCCTAAGGGCAAGTTCCCCCCCGCCCTCCCTACCAATTTCGATGTTTTAAAATAGGCCTAAATTTGAGGGGAGAGGCTTAATTTCATTTTATCCCTAGAAAACATGCTGGGGCTTCCTATGGTGGGGGCGTATTGTTGAAGAAACATGGTAGCAATCAGGAAGCAAAAATATTAATTAATGGGGAAACAACTAAAACATTTAAAATCCCAAAGGGAACGAGACAGGGATGTCTACTATCGCCGTTTTTGTTTATTCTAACATTAGAAGTATTAGCTAGGATAATTAGAAAAGAAACACAAATAAAAGGTTTAAAAATAAAGAAAGAAGAATTTAAGTTACAAGCTTTCGCAGATGGCCTAGTTTTCATTCTAGAAGAACCACAAAAATCAGGACTAAAACTCACAGAAACAATAGAAGAATATGGAGAGGTTGCAGGACTGAAAATTAATAAGGAAAAAACTAAAACAATCGCCAAGAATATGACAAATAAACAAAAAGAAACACTAAGATAATGGGCATCCAGATAGTTAATAAGTTAAAATATTTGGGGATTAAGATCTTGGCAACAACTAGCAGATGACGTGAATGTGTTTTACTGCAGGTTTGAAAGG